ATGGATAAAGTTCATTTGGAATGTTGATGCGAATGTTGAGGCAAAGCCATCTGTCATAGTTTATTATCATCGATAATCAATTAATGTATAAGTTCGGTAAAATTACCGACTCGGGAAGGCATCAATTCATTAAAAGTCGGACGACTCGGTGTCGCAAAATCTTCAGCTCGTTACCCGATAAGCCCCGTCGTATTATAGAATCGCCATTCCCCCGCTATACGTCATCGTCGCCAGCGAAAGAGGCGAAATTCTAATACTCGCGACGTGTCACAGCAGCTCTTTGACGCGCACTATAAGATGCGCCGCGTATTTTCCTTATTTACGCGGAGCAATGCGGATTGTCTCGCTCGCGTCGTCGTCACCTCCGCACATCAGCATAAGCAAAGGTCAGGGGAAGTTGAGCAATGGCTCGTAGCTTATCGGTGTAAACGGCGCTTCTCCACGCACCCAAGACGCTACGGATTTTCGCGTCCAAAGCTAAAGGAAGTCTGAAGAGTTGCGCTTTCTATGCTTCCCTCCCCCCCCCCCCCCCACGATTGAAAAGCTCCGATGCATAGGAGACGATCTCTTACTTCTCGGAGCTGCCCGCTTACTTTTTTATGTGCCGTGGGAGCTTTAGATAGTCGTTTTTGCAAATATTTGGCATTTGGGATGGCTGTTTGACGAGCGATCGATCGATAATATTTATGCGATCGACGGTATATGTAAGATTTAAGCAGCGGCAGCCATTGGCGATTATCATCGAGGCGCGCCGGCGAACGTATTGGAGAAAGTAGCCTCGCTGACACTATCGTATTTTATGAAATAAGCAAGCTTTATTGTGAATATAAGAGCTTGTTCTTTGGTTGCACTGGTGTCGGTTGAGAATGACAATGAAATATTAAAGAAATTAAATAATAAACGAGTCTCGTTGTAGCAACATCATTTCATTGCTGCAAACGTTACGAGATTTTAATTGCGTATCTACTATAGTTTAGAAAATTTTATGACAAACTACAGAAGCTTTATATCTTTTCGTTCCCCATGCGAATTATTATTACTAATAATTTTAGTATTCCCTAGTGGCATTTTAAATACATCGCAGATGTGAATTGTCGTAGTGATGCAAGCTGACAGTCAAACTCTAATTAAAAAAAATTGTATTTATATATCTGCAATATACGTATATGTACACCTTATCATTTACATTTGAACAAACATTCAATTTAGACGAATCGGAAATATTTCTTAATAAGCAATGAAAAATTCTTTCAATAAATTTTGTTATTATAACGATATATTTATGAATAAATTATAAGCAGATTATTATTAATATCGATATTTTCATCATTCAATAATCAAAATACAATAATTATATCTATGTGTATATACGAAGTATGGTAACAATTATGAATTAGATTATGTATTATATGTTATACCGTCGTTATTTTATGAAAGTGGGTATTATTCGATTGTCAAGTAGATATTTTAAGAGGAAAGCACATATTGTAAGAATATATTTAACCAATTTGATAAACATTCACTAATATACAACTTATTCACTACAATAATAATTTGAAAAATTTACTATTACAATGGAATATTTTCTAATTTGTTCGAATGTAAAGCACAGGAAATATTCATACAGAAGCAATTCAAATGATGTAATATACGCTTTAAGTTTATATAAATATATTTATCATTTACAATTAATTATAAGGTATATCGTAACTTGTTGTTTCGGTGTAATAACAATAACTCATATGTCACTTTTTATTCATTAATTTATCTTTGATTAAATGGACACAAAAAATTGAAATCAATTCGACGACCAAGAATTATTTCAATTATTTCTTATTGCATTCTTAGTAAGTTAATCATTCGTTTGAACAAAGTTGCAGCGAAAAGAATATAGGTATTAGATTAAATCGATGGTCATGATTTTCTTGTTTGTTTTTTATTTTCAATTATAGCATCATATGAAACACAATTTAGAAGGACTTTGTGTGCTTGTGATATGGTCTTGATGTGATATGAACGACTTAATTTAAGAAAGATACAGAATCATGTTATAAAATATTGAATCATTTGACGTTTACATAACTTATCCGACAATTTCATTAACTTGGCTCCACTTTAGTTTATCCGGACTTTCTGAATGGAAAAATAATGTTACCTTCAAAGTTGCGTTGATTATTATAGATAATTTATTCAAATTTTTGTCATGTCAATTTTAATAAAAGTTTCGAATGTCAGAACTATCAGGAATATTGACATTTGAGCGCCCTAGATTTGCATTAGCTGAAGAGCCGTTTTTCTTATTGTTGTGGTTTCATTAAAACGCCAATAATACTGTTTATGCGATAGAAAAATAATTTTTTATTATGCACGAATATAACTACGTTTCAGATAAGTTCTTATATTGTTTCAAGTTTTTTTTTAGATCAATGATTTTTATAGAATGAAATACATTTGCAAATAATTATTTTTATGAATTATAATGAATGTGGTTTTCGAATTTTCAATGCGTTACAATAAATTAAAACTTTTAATAACATTACTATTACTACTAATAATAATATTAATCTAATTATAATTTAAATAAAAAGAAACCGTGTTTTATTATACAAATCTTAAAAACCACAAATTTACTCATGAATTTACACTACACATTGACATTAATTAAAACAAAAAAAAAATACCTTGTAATTTTTTAAATAACGGTCGGAATTATTCTAGTCATTTAAACTTAATTTTGCTCATGTAAGCATATTTAAGTACTTTGATTTTACAATTTTACAATTTTACATTATTTTTACACATTTAAAAATAATGAGCTTTATTTGAACTTGATCTATAATAATTTTCAAGACTGAAATATTGTGATGTATTTTAAATACCCAAGCCATTTTTATGAATATATTAATGTGTAAATTTATCAATTATTATATTATAAATTATAAATAAATTTATGAATACAATTAGAATGCACATGTAATCAATATATTAATATACAAGATTAGAAACTTCAGCGGTTTGTACGATTTGGACAATCTTGCATTCAAATGAAATGGATTCAACGGATAAATACTTCATATAGTTAAAAATTACTTAAAAAATCTATAAATAACTTTAATGTCTGATAATAATTTTATATTATAATAACATATAATAATAACAACAACAACAACAACAACAACAACAACAATAATAATAATAATAAACTAAGTATGCTACAGAGGATGAACTTTCAGCAAATAAATAAATAAATAAATAAATAAATTACCTGCAAGAAGTTTCTATTACAAGGTTAACTATTCTATGATTGTTTATTATAATTTTCATGTAATATTATTATTATGACAATTAGTTTTCGTATTGAAATCTTTGTGATTAACTGATTCTTCTTTTTTTATTATTCTTTTTAATTTGTGACTCCCTGCATTTCAAATAATAATAATAATGATATCATTTGTTAATGTGTATGCTATTAAAGGATAACGTAACAGTTATTAATCATAAATTGTATATGAAATATTAAAAATGTCGAATGTATGGATTATGAAAAGATTTTGCGCTCCTGCGTGCATTTTATAATTAGCGTTAAATAAGAAAATTGATTAAAATCATATCGTTTATCAACAAATTTATCCAAAAAGATGAAATTTTTAAGCACTCACGATTATTTGTAAATTTTTCCAAATAGTGCATAATTTTCTAAATAAAATAAGGGAGTCGCGCACGATGATAATACTTTGTGATATTTATCATTTTAAAAAGATTATTTAAATGCATGAAGTTGTAATGTTTCATAAAAAAATCTGTTGAACAGATGGAAGTGTAATAGAAGCGTGACATATTTCAAGCAGTTTTGATAATTCGATTATGTGTGTGAGAGAGAGAGAGAGAGAGAGAGAGACAGACAGAGAAAGGGAGACAGACATACAGACAGACAGACAGACACAGAGATAGACAGACAGACAAACAGACAGACAGATAGATATAGATAGAGAGAAAGACAGAGAGAGAGAGAGAGAGAGAGAGAGAGAGGCAGATAGAGAGATACGTTTGTGGATGGACAGATAGATAGATCGAGAGCTACGTAGGGGGAGCGATAAGGGTGTGTGTGTGTGTGTGTATATGTGTGTGTATATATATATATATATATATGTGTGTGTGTGTGTGTCTGTGTGTGTGTGAGCGGGGGGAGCGAGCGAGAGAGGGAATGAGTGGGAGAGAGAGACAGAGAGAGATATAGAGAGAGAGAGTGAGACAGCGAGAGAGACAGTGAGAGAGACAGCGAGAGAGACAGCGAGAGAGACAGAGAGAGACAGCGAGAGAGACAGCGAGAGAGACAGCGAGAGAGACAGAGAGAGAGAGAGAGAGAGAGAGAGAGAGAGAAAAGTGCTGTGGCGCCGCGTCCGACGTGTTGTGCGACTATATAAGTAAGTCCCGCGCGGCGGCTTGCGGCTTAATGTCGTTGCCGCGTCCGTGGCGCCAAGAGGGAAAAGTGTACATATAGATACATAGATACATACATACGCGTAACGGTGGCCAGTTCTCTCCTATATAGCGCCGCTCTTGGAGCTCTCACCGTATAGTACAGTCCGACAATACGTCCAGACGCACTGCGGACTTTAAACTCCCCGAAAGCACGGCCTCGCTCATTCTTGCTCACGGCCTCATCCCGAGCGGCCAGGCGCTCCTTGCTTTAGCATTTTCTTTTCCTTTCTTGTGAGGAAACAGTGTTCCTAGTGAGACTAAAGTAGTGCGCCGAGTTAACTCTCTTCCTCTCGTGCCTCTCCATTCCGTTCTCGTTGTCATTCACGTCGTTGTCGTTGCTGTTTCTCGTGCCACTGTTTGTTGTTGTTGTTGTTATTGTTATTGTTATTGTTGCTGCTGCTGGTGTTGCCACCGTCGCCGCCACCACCACCTCCGCCGCCACCACCACCGCCGCCGTTGCTACTATTGCCGCCGCCGCCGCCGCCGCTGCTGCTACTGCTGCTGTTACTACTGTTGCTGCTACTGTTACTACTGTTGTCACTATTACTGTTGCTGCTTTTGGTGTTGCTGTTATTGTTGTCGAGACGTTGTTTATGTCGAGTTTGAGCGGTTAGTCGGGCCGTTCGCCAGGAGTGCGTGCCCCAGTGTCCTGCGGAGATCGTTGCGGATGCGTTCGCGCGCGTAAGGAGGACGGCCGAGGAGATAGTGGCAAGGCCCGGAAACCGGCGCGGTCGGAGGAGGAAAATGCGACAATCGCGTGTGATGATTTAAGTTGATCGAACAGTGCTCCGTTTTGCTCAACTCGATCTATGACAATATTGCTTGGCGCGATCTCCGAAGGTGGATCTCTGGACGTGGAACTGCGCTCGGGGAATCTGATATTAGGCTAAGCGGAGGAGAGTGGAGCACCATTATCGGGCTACAGTGTTTATTGTTTATTTTATTGTAAAGTGAGAGTTGCCCTGTATTACTTCTTGTTTGTTCGGGAAGAAAAATCGGGGGAGTTCGAACGAGAGAACGAAACTCGTCGAAGATATAGAAGCACTGAAAGTTAAATAAGGGTACGATTTGAATATATACCTGTATAAATCCATGCACAAAAACACACCCACGCATACACGCGCGCCCTCACTCACACAAACACAAAACACGCGCGCGCGTTCATATGTTTTCTGTAGAGCGCGCGCGTATGTTGACATTCTTTATCATTTTTAGGCCACTTTAATTATATAAACACAGTCTGCTTGATTACTGAGTGTGAAAATTCGATCAATCAAAATTAAAATTTTATCACCGTTGTCAAAATTTACGCATAAACGAGAAAATCTATAATGTACTCCGAAATGTAATAACAAATACACATTCGAAAGTAATATTATGACTGTGTTGGCTGTGAAAGTCCAGCGAAGAAGCGAATAGTTTTATTATCTCCTTGAAATTATCTTTCTGCTGCAAATTTTATGCTTTCGATATTTTTCAATATTCTTCATGTCACAAACAAACGGTCATTAATTTTTATTACATGAATTGATCAATGCGAAAATTTAATAGCTACTGTAATTTAAATTTGCCAATTACAACCTACATAATTTTTTAATTTAAATTATTCAATAATACACATTAGTAATGAAAATAAAATCGACGCTATAAATAATTTTCAAATCTTAAATGCTCCATTGTAACTTTCCATCTGATTTACAAAATACTCATTTGTTATCCATTTCCGACTAATATACCGATAATTTAGAGATACATTAAATAAATAATATATGCACCACACAAAATAGATACAAAATAGTGGTAAGAATATATGTTAGTTTTTTTACAATTTATAATCGAGTACTTAAAATAGATATATCTACCAGCATGAATATTTTCTGTTTTACAAACGTTGATTATAAAAAATGATTATTATGGTGTAATGAAGATTGATAATTTGCTACATATTATCATTGTTATAATTAGTGTGATTATTATTATTATTTAATTTGAAAAATAACATTTTTGAAAAATCGTCAAATGAAAGTTATGAAAAATTTATTGTATAACTACAATGACAATAATTTTTTTAAATTAAATTTTCTTGATAATAACTTTATTGACTAATTTAAATTTAATTGTATAATTATATTAAAACAGCTGTAACATTAGGTTATTTATAAATTTTTAGGATTGAAATTATTCTTAACCTAAAATGTTGCATCTAAAGCTTAAATGTTCATGTAAATATGTTTATCTATTTTGTATATCTAAATTTCTGTTTAAATATTTCATTTAGAAATATTAATTTGCATTTATAAGATTATAAAAGTATTTTAAAAAACATTTTAAGAATAATTTTTTTCTGCTTCATTAATATTATATTTTTTATTCTTTCTAAACTTCGATAAAGAAGCTATTTAGTAGGTATTATGATAATATTATTTTTATATGTAGTTTTCAATTCGAATTTAATTAAATTTTAAATATATATAATTTCACTACTTTAAATCATAAATAATTAATTAAGGTATAATTAAAAAATATCTATTATATATTAAATGAATTTAATGATTAACAATTTAGATTTGGCTAATCTAAGGAGTATATAAAACGTATATATATATATATATATATATATATATATATATGTATATGCGTGTGGGGATGTATGCATGTTTTTATGTTTTTAATATATTATATTTATTTAATATTCATAATTGTATATCACTTAAAATAGTAAATAGTTAAAGCTGATAAATTATTCAATACCTAATTCTCGGTTAGTTTAGAAGATTTTCAATGATACATCGCACTACTGCATTAGTTATCGGTATCTTATTTTCCCATACAATCAATTTTTTCATCAGATGCTTGGATTAAAGTTGGAGTTTTAGTTTTGATTTTATCATTAAGTTATCATATTATACAAAATATGATAGCCTTTGGCAAACATAATATACTAACATTAATTGAAATTGAATGTGAATTAGAGATTTTGAAATGAGTAATCGAATTATCTAATATTTAATTAGCTTAAAGTGGCTATGAAACTATAAGTGTGTTTTTGGTTCCCATTAGAAATCCAAAAAAAGAACATAAATTATATGTATCTGGTATTTGCAATTAACGTCTAATCTATTGCTTTGTTTATTTTTGACGTTAAACATATACGGTTAGTACTTTAAGGTTTCGTGTACATATTTTGATAAACTTTAAAGAGATGCTTCCTGGTACTCAATTACATAAGCTTTATCAGTAATTTTCGCGTTTTAATCTTGCAAAAGGTCAAAAAATTAATCAGTTTATTATATAATCAGCAAGAAATCGTATTAAAATATTATGGCTTTATATTGGCGTAAAATAGTATCGTTCTTTTTTTTTTATACAAAATTCAACAATTTTTCAATTTTACATAATTTTTATTGTTATATATATATAATTCAAAGTTATATATGGTTTTGTATACATGTGAGTATACTATTTACTTGTTTTCCCTTAAAAATAGCTAACAAGGCTCTGATTCTTCATAAAAAAAGTAAAAGCAAACTTAGTTTTCAAAAGAAAATTCCGGATTATTAGAGTGTTAATGTTGAAAAAAACACTTAAAGTCCGTTCGAAGCTAGAATCGATCGAGACGGTTTCGGTTACTTGGCAACTGCCTCTTGGATCTGGTCACTTGGGCGGTACAATAGTGTTGATCAAAGCATCGCTCAAGGCTTTCAACTGGGTACCAGCATCTCTAACAATCAGTCTCCCCGAAAAATGTTTGCTGCGCGTGCGTATAGGCGCGATACGTACTCGGTGAAAGACCGAGAGAGAGAGAAATTGTGCCAGCGTATCTCTGTGTGTGTGTGCGCGCGCGCGCGGGCGGGTTTATGTGTTCATGTGAGTGCGTGCCTGAGCGAGCAAGACAGCGAGTTTTTCGGCGGAGCGGGGGGAGGGGATAGAGATGAGGAAGAAACGTGAGTAATTGGTGTGCCCCCGTTGAGCAGGGCCCCAGGAAGATGTCGGGCCTGCTGTACACGCTGCTGGGCTTGGCCGCGAGTTCGAGCCTTCAGTGCGCGGTGCGTCGCGAGATCAGCCCGTGCACCTGCCGCCAGGAGGACTTCTCGACGCCCATAATATCCGGCTCCCCGGCGACGATCAGCAATGGGCCTTCCGCCGGAGCTGGGGTCACCAGCCATGCGGTCGCCCATGGTGAGCGCATCGAGGTCGAGTGCGAGCGGATGGAATCTTTTCATCAGGTCGCCGAGGCACTTAGGGGCAAGTTTACGCCGGAGCAGCAGATTCTTCTCAGGATTTCACACTCGCAGCTCCGTGATATATCGAAACACGGCTTCAAGGAGCTTCGGATGTCCATCACCAGGCTTGATCTCAACTATGATAATCTCGGGTGAGTCGTCGATATTATCACCCTTTCTTCTTCTTCTGTCAGTCTTTTTAAAGGGCCGAGGTCTATCTGCTGGGCTTGTATGTATATCTGACTTAACTTTAAGTCCCTCTAGTGCCGTTGCATTTATTTAGACGTCCTTTGCTATTGTAGTTTGTATCTACTTCTTTTATAATGTATTTCGTGTTCGAAAATTGAATATTATTACCATTGTATTGGCAATTTTTTAATTTAAAGTTCGATACGGCAACATATATTATCAGATTACGAATTTCTGGCCAAAGAGTTTTTTGTGTTTTTTCAAATTCTTGATATGGTTCAGTCATAATAATGTGTAGATCGTTCAATTATTATATTCGGTAGAATTTATAAAAGAACAATATTATTACCGAATATTAAAGATTTATCAGAATGTTGATATGTACTTTAAGAAATGCAATTGATAAAGTTCTTGATATTCGATTCTACATTCGATTCTTCTATTTGATTAAAATATTACAAATATTTGAAATAAACGCACAGTTCCGCTTGAAAATTTGAAAAATACGATTTAGTTCTAATTTGCGTTTCAAAATATTTCTAAAAAAGATCATTTTTGTAAATACAGACGTACGTGTAAAATACAAATTCAAGATAATTCTTACCTCTACAAAATTTCCACGCGATATTCGGAATTAAAAAATTATTGCAAATATTCATTTACAAGCATCGATAATTAGCGTGTATCTTATTACTATTGCTTACATATGGTATTGATAGTATGATACGACTCTAAAGAATAGGATAACTTTTTTTTTTAAGTTATGATTTTCGGTACTTTCGCCACGTCCGAGCATATCCTCATTTTACTACTTGATACGACGTCGTGCAATTACCTGACTATATCGTTTTACAATGGTGTTGGTTATCGAAAGTTTCGATCGATAGATATAAATGCAAATATTTGTCTTTATTTTGCTTGAGCATCACGGGTAAATCATACACACACAGTATTGGACAATGAAGGCAATTGAATACACTGCGATTATGTACGAAATTATAAATTTCATTGTGGTTAGTTAATGTAGTCGTATTATCGCATCAAATACTATCAAAGATATCACTACTAAAGCTACTAAGATCTTATCTAAGCTAAATATATTTTTTGTGTGAAAACTTTCATATTTTGATTGCCTCATTTTATCAAATTTTATCAATATTATTTACAAATGAGTGTCACTCAATTAAAGTCCAATTTTTAAAAGTAAAAATTGTTATACTTGGAGAATAAACTAAACCGTTTGAAGCTCAAGTTAAAACTTTTAGTTTTAACTATTATATTTAGTATCATGAAAATGTTACCAGTCATTATTTTAAAATTACTTTCACATCGTAATATCTGACGAGTGATAAAGACCGAGAATTTAAAGCTTCCCTAACGCAATATCATTACAATTGTGATTATGGATATAAATGTAATCGAAGTAGCTACTTCCACCAGCAGCCATCCCTGGGACTCTTAACTGATTGCAAATGATTTCCTTTAGCGTACTAGTTTAGTAAGCATTACGGTGTTCTTATAATGCAAAGTATCGAAATCAAGGAAAAAAGAACGAGATCCAACGACATCAAGAGGGAAATCCATCGCGATCTGACGAATCGCCAATGAGATACGCAATGACGCGACTCCGAGATCGCGAAGAAGGAAAGTCACAACCAAATGCAAAGTCGTAATTAATAAACATGAGTTAAACACTGGCGATTATGACTCTGAATTTCATTAGTCAGTCTGGCCGAGAGAAACGTGAACAACGTCTGCGTAGCCCCTTTTTATTTCTCGTTCCCTGCCGCGCGCGTCGCCGTGTTCCAGCGATTTCCATTGAGTTGTTTGCGTCGAACTCGCACGGGCGCCGCCGCGGCTTGTCTAAGTCGTAGATAGAGTCGAGGGTTGCATATTGACAGATGTTTCATTAAGAGCTGTCGCGAAAGAACGATAGACGAACACGGGCGGGTCAAAGTTAAAATCCGTATTATCATCGAGGAGCGCGGGCGCGAGAGAAGAGGGTGGTGGCGGGGCATGGAGAAGGGAGAAATTTATTAAGAGCGAATATCGCGTGATTCGCAATAATAAACATGTGCGTTGTTTTAAGCCGATTTGCCTCAGGCAAATTCCCATGGTATTATCAATATATGAGGAGCGATTGCGACGCTATCCAGAGCTCTTGTCTGGCTTCTATCGTTTTTCCCATTTTAAAATATTATAGTGCTAACGCATACGTGTGCATTTTTACTTTATATATTATTTGTAATATTTTTTTTTGTTATTACGGCGTAGATGCGAACGAGAGGACGAAAGTTGATTGGTTTTAAGGAAACGAATCCTTTAAAATATCGTTCTATTCAATGCACAATCACTAGATATTACTCCTTGTATAACGCACTATTAACAAAATTATGTATATACATAAATCATATATTATTATGCCATTTATGAATAAATACCTAGTGATATACAAGTGGTCACTAGCTTTCTTTATGCGCAATAAATGATGGGACTAATATGAAGGATAATGTGAAAATCTAAGCATTAAACGCTCTTAATAACCACGTTATTAAATTAATAAATGTATTATATCGGTGAAAATCTGTAAATGTTTCTATAAAAGTTTCTTGAAATATATTTTTCTTGAATTGGAAATTAGAAGACCAAAAGCAAACGTTTTTTACGTGAAGGTATTCATATAGAATATCATTACAAATTTATAATCGCTCACTGTTTCATATTTTTTAATTAGTTTAGAACCTTTATTCATACCGTTTAAGAGATGTTCCGTAATGAATGTTTCCATAAATAAACAAAATATTCTATATAAGATTATCTATAATTACGTAAAATTAAAATTAACATGTCATTTATTAGAATTAAACTTTTTGAATTTTTATTATTGAAATAGGAAAACTTGTAAATACATTTACTTAAAACTTTTGTTGAATTTAAAGTGATATAAAATTTATTATAAATTTATGAAAAATTATATAAATTTGAGACTATAATATTATGTCAAAATTTTTATCAATAAATAAATAAAATAAAATAAAAATAAAAATATTAATATATTCTAGAAATATTTAAATATACTTTTATTATGCATTATATTTACATGACAGATTTTAATATTCTTTTATTGATTTAAATGATATAATAAAATTTGTTTAAGAATACGATAATAAATATCTTATTTATTGCATATAACATAGATTTCTTAACATATTTGCGCACAATTTAAATCATTCGTGTCCTGTATTTAGAGTATAAGCGGAAACGGTTGCTTATTTACTTAGATTGATGGATATGATATTTATCTAATAATTTGTATTAATAAATAATGATTCAAAGTCTTCATTATTTACTTTAAATTATAAAAAAAATTTATGATAATATTTATAATTTAATATACGCGTCAAAAATTTATTCAATTCAATTTAATTAAATATTATCAAGTTAATCGGTGTTATGCAATTAGTTTAATACATGAAGTGTTAGTCAGTATATATTTAATATAGTAAGGCACTTTTGATTAAATAAACTTTACTTCGATTATAAGAAATAATGCAGCTTTAAAAAAATTATCTATCAAATAATTTCTATGTTTAAATATTAAACATTATTTTGACAGCTACGGTAAATAAATTTAGAGAATAATTTTTTTTTGACAATTTATAGATAAATAATAAATTTATGCAGATGCATAAATTGCGTGAAATAGCAAAGAAAATATATAACGACAGAATAATAATATATATTATTTATTATTTTATATAATTAAAGGTAATATATTATCTTATATAATAATTATATGTGTATTATATAAGAATAGCTATTTCAAATATTATTTTTAGACAAATTTTTTATTTATATAAATTTTATTTTATTTTATTTAATATTTAAATAAAATTAAATACGATCATCAATAATATTCACACATTTTTCTTATATATATTTATATATATTTCTTATATAATGTATCTTATATAGTGTATTTGCTACGTATTTGCCATTATATACATTATATTATATATGAACTTACATAATAAATTCATAAATTAATTATGCAGCTATAATATAAAAACTGTCAGCTTATCAAATGCTTAACTGGCTGTTTACCTGATAAACTGAAGAATATGATAAAAAGTGAGCGGTATGCGGAAGAAATTTCCATAAAAGGAACTCCCAATTCCAAATACCTTTAAGTAAATTACAATGCATATATTGACAGCTGATAATTTATAATACCGCTTAAAGAATTTTTGGGTTTATACTCACTAAATAAAGCAGTCAAATATTGCTAATTATTTATTCTAAGAATTCAATTAAATGAATTGCTCGTAAATATATGTTTCTTGTATTACTCTTTATCCATCATAAATATGTGTCGAGAAGCGATTTATCCATTCTTTTGAATATAAAAATTAATTCTAATTATATTGATTTCATTTATTTCCTTAGTCGTTTATTTATAAGGACGTATCGTAACATTCGTAACATATGATAAATTGCTAATGGAAAAGCAAAATTATTGGTTAATATACCAATAGAATTCCTGGATCCTATGTGTTCCCTCGTACTTTCTTTCATTAATATTACGGCACATTTGCCGTAATTTATTAGTAAACCAGATAAGATAAGATTAATTAAGAAATTTTAAATAATTTCGAATGTGATTGTATATTAGTATGATCGTGGGGAAGACAATCATAGCGAGCGTAATATTTAATTTTTTTTTCATTTCAAAACTGCATTTTCATTAAATATCTCTGTATTCTCGCAAATTTAGTTTTAGTTAACAGTTCAGCGCAGACACTCATTATTTACACAGTACGAGTAAAAATATATCTTAGCTGATTGGTATCCTAAATGGGACTGGAGTATAGTTTTGCAAAGCATCAATCATCAATACATTATGATTCAAGAAAATTAAGATTTTTTTCTTCCACTCTTTGAACAAGTCACATACGTAATTTAT